GGTTTTATTGTATTTTCATAATCATTTAACAACCCTCACAATGAACAGAATGTGTAAAGTTAAACCCATAAGATTTGATAGATTCATAATCATAATCACTTTCTTCAAAAATAAATTCTTAGAAGGGAATGAATACATGAGTGAATACACAGATGACATTATCATATTTCTTTAATTTGCAGAGCAAGGAGAGAAACTAGCAAGTTTCTTCCTCAACCCCACCATTCTCCGACATAAAGGGGGACATCATGTACCATCATCTGGGACACAGAAGGATGTCTACAGGGATGCGTACAGGCAGTTCCTGGATGCTTTTGCTTGTAATGAAAATGTTGACGATGAGTTAGATTTATAAAATCAAAAGGATGGTTTAGTATACCACCATACAGCGTAAAGATTTATGTAAGAGAGTCTATTTCAATTTTTCTCAGGAAAATCTAGAATTTAAAACTTTATATAAAAACTTTAGGAAAAATATCTTATGACTCAGCATTTGTTGAATAATGGTATATGCTGATAGATATATGTTTTTGTATTTTAGTCAGAGATTTTAAACTGGTAAATGTCAATTATTAATTCTTAATGAGAGTGTGTGTGTGTTTGTGTGTGTGTGTTTATGTGTGTGTGTGTGTTTGTGTGTGTGTGTGTGTGTGTGTGTGTGTGTGTGTGTGTGTGTGTGTGTGTGTGTGTGTGTGTGTGTGTGTGTGTGTGTGTGTGTGTGTGTGTGTGTGTGTGTGTGTGTGTGTGTGTGTGTGTCTGTGTTTGTGTGTGTGATAGAGAGAAGGAGAGAGAGAGAGAGAGAGAGAGAGAGAGCAGGGGTTCACATTAGGTGGGTGACATCCCTCAAAAAAAATTTCAGTCAGTCCTAAAAAAAAATTCCAATGTTGTTTTGATCATCAACCAGTACACATTTTGAACTTGAAAATTTGGAATATTTTATAAATTTTATAAGTTTATAAATATAGGAGAAAAAATGCAAAAAGAAAAGTTAGAAATAAAGAAAGCTTGTGAATTTGGTTAAAAAGTCTGCGTGTGATGTGCCATGTTGGTGGGCGTAAGCACTATCCCTTCCCTTTAAAATTTAAAGGTCTGACTGCATACTGGTATTGTTTAAGTTCAAGAAAAAGAGTGTTCTTTTGAGTATGAGCTCATTTGTTCCTTAATGTTATAAAGATCACATAAATTTGTTATGCAATTAGTTGGTCCAAAAAAGATCTGTCTCTTCAAAGTCAGTCTAGACTATTCTTTCACCCAGGGCCAGATTGAGGCCAATTTATGCCTTAAGCTAACTCACCCTTAGTGCCCCTGCACCTTCCTCTTGAATAATGTAAAAACTTTTCAGAATTTATTTTTCACTCAGGCCAAACATCTTTAATTAAAATCTTTTAAATATCTGTTTTTCATATTTATATAACACAGGGACTATATGCCATGCTGTAAAACAGGCAACAGTTTAAACAGATTCTGTAAAGCAGGCAACAGTTTAAACAGATAATAACTAGGACAACAGATACAGTGAAAGTTTTTGACTTGCTATTCAAAAAAAAAATACTCAAAATTGTCTTTCAACAGAAGCCAGTATTACCAATATTAAAAAAAAAAAAAAAAAAAAAAAAAAAAAAAAAAAAAAAAAAAAAATATATATATATATATATATATATATATATATATATATATATATTATATATATATATATATATATATATATATATATATATATATAACTAAGTTTTCTCTTGCTTTTTTTTATTAACTTTAAATAGTCAAAGCTAGTTTGGCACAACAAATTTGGTTCAACCACGAGCAGAGATAATGATTCCAGCCTCACTTATCTCAAAGCACATTCAATGTTGTCTTCTACAATTACTTCATAGAGTTCAGCATGACTGAATCTAGTTTTGCTGCTGTTATTGCACTAAACTTATGTCAGATCTATACATAAAGCTCTAAACTACTGTTCTCATCAGCATCAGTTCTGGTACATCAGTTAGGAAAAAGAATTTGTCTGCTATAAAATTTATCTCTGGCACTCAAACATACTTCTGGTGCATCACCATCATAGGGCATCATAGGGCGGGTGTGACCTGCCATATAATCCACATCCACCAGTCTTTCCTTAGCAGCTGCTTCAAACTTTTCCAAATTAGTCTCTTGAAGTCTGCAACTGGTCAGCTATTGAAGAATACAGATCTGCACATACTCATTTTGTAGAATTTGACTTTCTCTGTGAAATTTTTCCAGAATTTCTTCCTATAAGATCAACATTAAAACACCTTGTAATTCTTACATCTTATTTGCAATATTTTCTGTTTTTCTTCTAGCATCCCCCTTCAGTGACTGGTCTTCTAAGCATTTGAAACCTTCTAAACTTTGAAGGAAAGACCTAAGAATTGCAGCAGTTGCCATAGCAAGTGCCTCCCATCTGGTATCATAGTGGTATTTTAAAACATTTTCATATCTAAAGCAATCTTTGAAAATTTCCATCAGTTGGTTGAGGCTGAAAAAATGTATGTAGCGGTTGTGCAATAGTGAAATTAACTGCCTCTTGACAACAATAAACTGCACTTCAGCCACTGTGAATGAGCAGCACAGGGCTGTATTCCCATATAACGTCCAGACATGTTAGCATTTTGAAAAATACAGCTTACAAACTTACAAAAACATTCAATAGCCTCCCTATCTATTAAGTATTGAAGTACAACTCTACTGATCTATAGGTAATAGATCGGGCATTGAGAGTACTGATAAGCTGAAATAACCAGACAAATTAATTTCATCATGTGAATCTTTTCAGCCATTAGTCCAAAGAGTTCCTCACAGGATAAGTAAGAATTTCCTTTCGTGGAATTCAAATATTTGGAAATATGTCCTGCTACAAATGAATAATACTAACTGATGAGGTCAAGCATCCCCCCAAATCCCATTGTTATGTTGAAAGCCAGGCCAGATATTGCACATCTCAAGACATTTTCCCAGTAATTGTCATGCGAATAGAATAATTAGTCACCTTATCAGTCTAGGCCATTATAGATAAAGGCTTTTGTTCATTCTGTTTAGCTAGCTTTCTTTTTTGTGCACTACATAAGTGAGGACATTTCCTTTTTTTTTTTTTTTTTTATTCAAGATAGATATCATACTATTACTGCATTTAAGCAGGCTAAAGATGGTGAAGTACATATAGGATGCCTAATCAACAAAATGATAGGAATTTGATTTTAAAAACTGAATGTTAAATTTACCTTGACCAAACATTAACTGTGCATATACAAGCAGTGTAATGTGGCCAGGCACATGCTAAAACCAAGCATAAAGCATATATTTTATAAGTTATGTTTTTTTTAACCTTCATTCCTAACATAGGTAGTAACAAGGGACTTTTCCATAAATAACTTGACCTTTCCAACAAGGCCTCTAACCTGGGTCATTGCAGCTATGCAACTGCAAGACTGGAGCTAAATTACCCATACCATGTGACCTACAAAAGGAGTGTGCAACTAGGAACTTACTAGTTTTCATAGACATTACCTATCTACTCTCATGCATGAGTAAGGATAGCGAGGTTTTACACACACTCCCCTTGGGCGCTTACTCAGAAATACAGAGGTGTATTTATGAAAGATGGAATAATGCACAGCTGCATTGATATGAATAAATAACTTGACCCCCCAACCAACCCCTGAACCTAGGTTATTGCAGCTATGCAACTGTGAGACCAGAGCTAAAACAACCATATTGCATGACCCACAAAAGGAGTGTGCAAATAGGAGCTTAATGGCTTCCTTAGACTTTCATGTTTACACATTTTAGTTCAAGGTATTGGGTATGTTTTTTTATTTACATGCAGGCCTGTGTGATATAGTCATACAGATAGGTATTGTGGTATTGCAGTTCTGAAAAAATTGTGGTGTGGTTTTCCACCTTTTGTGATGGTGCTTTTTATGGTTAATCCAGATCTGCTTACATCCCCTAAAGAAAGTTTGAATGTATGCCCCTAAGAGGGAGGGTTGGGGAGAGAGAGGGCAAGAGCATTTCTTATTTTGACAATGGGGGAAGGGGGTACATGCATGGGAATGAATACAAATGGGTTTAAGTCAAGATGCAATGTGCAAAATAGCTTTACATAATTTGTGACATCATACTGCACACAATTAGTATTCAAATCTGGATACAGTTTGTATGTTAAAGTGAAGCAGTGATTGAACAAAACGTGTGTGTTTGTGTATATGTGTGTGAGTGTGTGTGTGTGCATGAGTGTGCATATCCATGTGAATGTAAATAGATGAGTCAATATTGGTGTGGTAATAAATTTGAGTGTGTTAGGGGTGTTTGGGTAGGTGGATGAGTGGGTGCATGTGGCCATGCATGCATGTATATATGAGTACATGTGTTTGTATATGTATGTTTGCATGCATTTGTACTTTACAGAATGAAGAAATATTTTTTTAAAAGTTCTGATTCAGTACTAATTGATATTTAAGGTTTATTATTATTATTATTATGACTGTCATTTTGAATCATGTAAGTGTACCAATGTTATATATAATTTACAATAATGGATAATACTTCTGTATATAATTTTCTTACTTTTTTCATTATAGACTTTATGCCTCCAGCACACTTACTACAGTTGATGATGCAGTATTCTACAGACCGCATTTGAGCATAAGAACCCAAATAAGCAAAAAACATTTACAAAATACTTATTCGTAAAATTTCTAATTACAATGAAATATATGAACTATAGTTTAAATGTAATTATATGTTATAGGGTAAGCCATAGTAGGTTAATCAACCTCGTGTTAAAATTCCAAAGAAAAAAAATGACAGTTGGATACAGAGAGAGTATATTTTGACAGGTTTTGACTGTATTTGACAGTTACTTTTAGCAGTAACAAGGCTGTGGCTGAAGAGAGGTGACAATCGTATCTTAAGAGTTAAACCATACAAAGTCTAAATATAGAAAGGGGATGAGCTAAAACCAAAGGAATGTGTATTTTTGGTATGTGGTCACCCTTGGTAAGGAGTAGTTAATTATGAAGTTTTTCTATATGTACATATTACATGGTTATGTATATTTATAGAATATATATACATGTGAAAGTATTGAATAAACTTGATGTATATTTTCCCATGTAAATATTATTTTATGATGGTCATACTTTGTAGATGTTAGAGCAATAAGTAAGAATTTGTTGCTACTTAGTATTATAATTGTGAACTCTATTTTGTAGTAATAGGGGATACAAAGAAACAGTTCTATTTAATGAGTCTGGGACATAAAATCCCATACCAAACTTGCACTAAGTTTGCACTGTTACTGATTTAATTTACAAAGATATCTGTAGTTCTGATTACAACCATGTCAACAATGCTTTTAGAGACGCTTACACAGGCAGTGTTTAAGGTGTCATAACGACGCAGAATGAAGGATAAATGGACCAGAAAGTTTGACAGAGCAGTACAATAATTTCTCATTCTGTCATGAACTGCAAATCCAACGCACACCTCATGCACACCAGAGAACATGTATTCATGCGAATATTCTCATAAAAATTACACTTCCTGGTTTCCCAATGCTTTTGATGTACTTTTTTCATTCCATTTCATGTGAGCTATCTAAATGTATATAAATGTTATTTTTAATAGAATTTTAAGAGCAAAACTACTACTACTACTACTAGTAGTACTACTAGTACTAGTACTACCACCAAAGTAATTGTGTGTACAGAGAATGCATGCATGAAAGATGATCCACATGGGTAATCTTAGTATTTAGTATTTAGTTTGTGTTTTTGTAAATGGTATGACTTGAGTAAAGTACCTGTAGTTCATATTGCGGTATAAACTACAAAACTGCTATGTTTTGCACAGAGTAGTAATAGAACGTATTCCATATTGTACAATAGAAAGCCTAGTGGTTGTGTTTCCTAATAACTGAAATAAGATTAATGTGATATGTGCAATTGTAAACTTTGGAAGAGCTCAGAATGTTACCTATTTGTTGCTACTCTTTTCTTTAATTGTATGTTTATGATATCCCTGTTGTATTCACAGGTTGGTTTATACTTGGGTATGGTTATTGTAATGTATTAACACAAATGCATTATTAAGAAAATATTTATGATTCTGAACTTGGCATGTTCAGGATGACATGTTTTCCATGCATGACCTTATGTAGGGAAACTTTTATATAGGGGATATGGGGAGATACTGATGCACTAAAGCAACACTTTTTAATATCACAATTCTTGGAAAGTATGTAAGCCATGAATGCACTATTATCTCCTCCCTATAAATGATTGAACAGAACATAAATTCTGCTCGGGTTTGTTTCCCCTGCTCCCCTATAATTCACAAAGTACGCTCAAACTTGGCTCTTCTGAACGACAGCTCAATATTCCTTGTGGCAGGGATAGCCAACACAGACAAGGAACCACTGCATCAGGATTACTTCAGCTCAAGATACAAAAACATGTACCCCAGTACCTCAAGTGTGGAAGACGTGGGATGCATATTTTCAACCGAGAACTTATTTAGGTCTTCCACAAAATATGTTGCCTAAAGATGATTAAATAATACAGAGGGGGAGTCTTTGGTTCATTGTTATTCTTAGTACTAAAGACATTAAATTGAGTTTGATAATGTGTACAATGATAGACAAAACTAACATCCTTTACTTCAACTGCCAGATGCATGAGTATAGTAGACACGTTTTCAAGTGTTGCAATAGCCCTTTTCCTCAAAATCTTTATTGCTCATGTATTTTTACAAATTTCATGTGATATAAATCAGAAAAAAAGTAATGTACATCCCAGTGTTAGGAAATAGGCTGTTACTGTTACTAAAGTTCGTCATTGTACATAAAAGGGGAAGAATGCGTAAAGGATTTGTCAATGTAAAGCAAAAAATCACCTTTACATATTTATCTGGCTTTATTATCCATTTTATAGACAAAGAAGAAAAAAAGCAGTGAGCTCTAAATTGCGGCATCTCAATACTGATTATATTATTGTGTGTCTGTGTGTACATATGTATGTGCATATGTGGGACTTTCTCTTTTTATTAATAATGTGATTCATGGAAGGTAAATAAAATTTCATCCCATTTTAAGAAAAACATTTCAATTTATTTCCTGATATTTACCTTGACTAGAACAAAAAAAATAATTGTATACTGTAATATGTACAATGTCTATAACATGAAAATTCTTTTTATAAAAAATCACACATCTGAAGACACACTATAAATACAACACAAGAAATTCAATTAGCATATACATATAATTCATTAAAAATTTATAAATATAAGTTCTGATTTGATTCCATTTTCAAACTTCACTTCATATTTCATATTAATGCGGAATGGACAGATTTTTTTCATACTCGTATAAATGCAAGAGCATTATCCTAACTTTGAAGGAAAGATAAAACAAGAAATATTTTATAAATGCTTTCATGCAACATCAGTGTATCTTATAGAAGTAATCATTTGTTTTGGTAA